CAGCCATGGCCACCACCCACGCTAAAGAATCATTAGCCATAAAGTGCCCCATGCCCACAAGAACACTTTGAAACCGGTACAGAACATTATTCTAATACATAAAAGCATCCAAGAGCTGCAGGAACTGCAATTTACAAGAAAAATAATTTTACTGTTACAACCCTTTGACAAACATCAATCATTGTAGAAATAGGTAGATGTAAAAATTGATGCATGTGTGTGTGGTCCTTCTATACACACACACACACAGTGTATGTATATGTGTGTGTGTGTGTGTATACATATATATATATATATATAACATATTGTGTCAGTGATCAATTGCTTAACATAACAAACTGCCCCAAAACTTCGTGGCTTAAACCTAGCAAATCCACTTTTGGAAATCTATCCAAAGAAACCAGAAACACGAATTTGAAAAAATATACACACCCCTATATTCACTGCAGCATTATTTACAATAGCAAAGATATGAAGCAGCCCAAGTGCCCATGAGTAGATGAGTGGATAAAACAACTATGGTACATTTACACAATGAAATACTACTCAGCTGTAAAAAGGAAGAAAGCTCACCCTTTTCGACAGCATGGATGGACCTGCAGAGCATTATGCTAAGTGAAATAAGCCAGTCAGAGATAGACAGTACCATATGATTTTACTTATATGTGGAATCTAATAAACAAATCTATAATAAAAGCATAATATGCTAATTATACCAGACAGCCAAACAACCTTCCAGACTAAGCCGCAGCAGCGGGGGCCAAGGCAGAGGCAGTTAGGGGTGATCAGGCAGGCAGGCAGGCAAGCAGTTAGGGGCAATCAGGCAGGCAGGCAAGCAGTTAGGAGCCAGCGGTCCTGGATTGTGAGAGGGATATCCAACTGCCCGTCAGTCGGATATCCCCCAAGGGGTCCCAGATTGTGAGATCTCTAGTTAATATAGAGAACAGACTGACAGCTGTGAGAAGGAACGGGGCTGGGGGCTGGGTGGAAAAGGTGAAGGAATTAAGTAAAGAAAAAAAGTAAAAGCTCATAGACACACACACATAAAACAATATATTTTATTTTTACTCCTCTTTCCACTTAAGAGGGATTCCAAGTAATAGCTGTTAACTATTCTCCAACGTCTACAGCCCTTAAAGACATTTCCTGTTCACTCCTCTGAAAAAGGAGATCAATGCTCTTTTCAAGTATTCCTCTCTTCTTCCAATCTTCCCTTTGCTACAATTTTTCCTGTTACTTAGCACATTTATTGTCTTGTACTATAACTTCTCTATGCATGTACCTGAACTCCTAAATTCAAGCCAACTGAGACCTGCCTCCTGTCACACTGCCTCCGCTAATTACTTGCTGATTCTGATACCTGACCAGTTCTATCACAACCCCCATGAAACGTGAGGTTAATCCCTCAATCTCTCTGTAGCTCAGCCTCACTCTTCCAGAAGACTGGGTTCAACAACACCGAAAATAATGATTCCTATGACTCATCAAATTCTTCTCTAGTCTTCACCTCGCCCACAAAGTTCATTTCCACTCGTAGACCTGGCTGTGGGACACTCACTTGGCTGCATCACCACATTGTACTCTTTCTCTCCAAAAGCGTACAAAATGACGACAGGGCAAAGTGACTTCCTCTGGTATGTGAAGTGTGGGATTAATCCAGGTCTCTATTTTTACACATGCTGCACCTTGTAGAGATTCAGGCCTGGCCTCCACAGATCTCTTCCAGAATAAGCCTGGGGCCGAAGATAAGAGGCATCCGAAGACCCTTTCCTCCTCCTACTCCCTCGGAAGTTTAAAAATCTCGCTTCCTTTTCAGCTGTTAGTCTGGGGGAGGATTTGTTTACTGTTGCTAGTGTCCAGTTGTTAGGTTGCTAGGTCAGTGGGGCTTACTGTGTGGGCGGTGACAGGGCCTATTTCATTGGTTTTATAAATAAATACCCACATTTGTTTCATGTGCCTTTTTCTTTTACCATCTGACAGCATCCCTTATCCCCTACCCATCCTGGGGAAAGTGTACGCTTTTAATCTTGACAGTGAGAAGGGCTATGGAGTCAAAGCGCCCATGTACTGTGTTCACAGAAACGTCTTAGCAGTCACGTGGTTTGCTGTGTGTAGTTTACTGTAAACAAGTGACTCAGATCGTAAGTCCCATTAGGACTAGAAATAGTAATTCAGAAACAACATTAAAGGGGGAAAGTGAACAATTACATCATCTTCTTTAAATGCCCAATTCCTCTGGAACAGATAAATCAAATTAAGCAAACTCAACACCAAAACAACCAAGAGATCAAAGTTTGCATCTCCAATAATTGGACAAGAATATAGTATGTGTTCTCCTAATATGATACACCAATCAGGGCATCATTAATGTCGTATTCCTGTCCCAATCAGGAGAAAACATCATACAAACCCAAACTGCTACAAACTAACAGGACTATAATTTTCCAAAATGTCAATATGATGAAAGACAGAGAAGCAGAGGAACCATTCAGAGACTAAACAGACATAAGCACAACATGTAATCCTGGATTAAATCCTGGATTGGGGAGGGGCTAAGAGGAGGATGCTATAAAGGACATTATTGGGATAATCACAGAAATTTGGATGTGGACTTAGATTACGTAAGAGTGTTACATCGATGTTACGATTCCTGTTTTTGTTAATTGTACGGTGGTTATGAAAGAGAATGTCCCAGTTCTTAGGAAATATATGCTGAAATATTTAGGGAAATGGGGATGATGTTTGCAACTTTCAAACAACTAAAAAATATGTAATACAGAGACAGATAAGCTCATGTGACTAACTGCTCATAAGAGATGAATAGGGGTGTTACATTCCTGCAACTTTTCTGTAAATCTGAACTTATTTCAAGTAAAGCATTAAAAAAATTTAGAACGTGAAATGGAAGATTGAACTTGGATTGCTTACTTTTAAAAAGGACTTTAATTGTGCAAGTCTCCACCATTAAGTGCTGTGAGATTTGTGTGTCTTTATCTTTCTCAGGATCCAGCCTTTTTCCTTATTTACTAATAGTTTCCTCTCTTCTGTTGATACCCACCCCTGCAGATCCTAAATATAAACTGAGAGAAAAACCTCCACATACGCGTTTCGTCCTTTTGTGTGTTATTTCTTCCTCTCGGGGCAGAGAGCTGATGCCCTCTCCAATGGACCGCCATGTGACAGCTACTTTTCTTCACCAAAATAGCCTAAGCCCCTGTGACCTAGTTCATGGAGAATGAAGTACACTCACTCTCCTTGTAAAAAATGAAAAGCAAACTGCCCATTGAGTGTACTGCTGATACACTTGAAACCTGAAGTTTAAAAATTCTCAGTAGAGCCTGCCCAACTACCCACACAACCATACTTACACAGAAAACTATTAACCCTAGAGTCATATACCTAAATACAAGGGCTAAAACTATGAAACTGCTGGAAGAAAACACAGGAGTAAATCTTTGTGACCTTCAGCTAGGCAAAGCCTTCTTAGATGATACCAAAAGTGCAAGCAATAAAAGAAATAACAGGTAAACTGCACATTTTCAAATTAAAAACTTCTATGCTTCAAAGGGCACCATCAAGAAAGTGAAGTGTTGCCCTGACCGGTTTGGCTCAGTGGATAGAGCATTGGCCTGCGGACTGAAGGGTCCCGAGTTCGATTCCAGTCAAGGGCATGTACCTTGGTTGCAGGCACATCCCCAGTAAGGGGTATGCAAGAGGCAGCTGTTCGATGTTTCTCTCTCATAGATGTTTCTGACTCTCTGTCCCTATCTTCTCTCTCATCATTGATGTTTCTATCTCTCTCTCCCTCTTCCTTCCTCTCCGAAATCAACTGGCCAATAAGCATACATAAAGATGCCTGAAATCATCAGCCATTGGGGAAATGCAAATCAAAACCACAACCAATTACTGTTTCACACCCACTGGGGTGGCTACAATAAGAAAGCCGGGGAACACAAAGTGTTGGCATGAATATAGAAACACTGAAACTTCAACATTACTGGTGGAAATGTAAAATGGTGCAGTTGCTGTAGAAAACTGGCAATTCCTCAAATGTTGAAGTTATCATATGGCGAAGCAATTATATGCTTAAGTATATACCAAGAGGGATGAAAACATACGCCTACACCTAAAAAATGACTGTTCAAAGCATCATTATTCATACTAGCCCCAAACAGAAAACCACCTAAATGCCAATCCATCAACTGATGGACAAAATGTGGTATATCCATACAATGGAATATTACTTGCCAATAAAAATGAACAAATATGGATACATGCTCCAACACGAACTTTCAAACATTAAGCTAAGTGAAAGAAAGTCAGTCACAAATGACCATATATTGCGTGAATCCATTTATTTGAACTCTCCAGACCATAACAGCCCCAAATCCACTGGCCTCTCACAGCTCTAACAATCCATCCCTCTTAACTGGTGTCTCACCAAACAGGCATTTCTCATCATCCCAATTCAGATAATTCAATCTCATGAAAATAAAAATAAAATAAAATAAAAACACCTAAAAATGTCTCTCTCCAGCCCTGATTCATTCATTTATCCATGTCATCTTACAATTCCCTCCCTTCTGGGAGATGGTACCTCGGCTTTTCATTCAGACTCCTAGAGCCAGCAGCTCTCTCGCCAATGGCAGAGCGCCACCTAGCTGCAACACTGGGTAACTCACACTGGCAGCAGGAAGAGCACTCCACCGGAATGGAAATGCACTTCAGTGAAAGTAAGAAGCCACAAAATCACTTTGCAGAGCAATGCAACTGTGTTATATGTGCAGCTTCTCACCCTAACTCGTTTAGCTCAGTCTTACATGCATGCATGAGTCATTTCGAATTCACTAAATCAAATTTCATTTCCCAAATTGTGTTAAGCCTATATAAATTCATGTGTAGATGGTTAAAAATAATATGTCAATGTCTTTGGGTTTATTATAAGTAGGTAAACAGGATAGATAAGTATAAAATGAAAAGAAATTTCATAATTTACTCACATATAATGGAGCTTGCTGTGGATTAAGTTTCATGACCCAGGACACTGAAAAAGAGAAGGGAGAAGAAATAAATGAGAATAAAATTAAAAGCTATTGCCAAAAATATAAAAACCACCTGAAGTCTTAGATGCCGGGCGTGGCTATCTGAGCACAATCGGAAGTCCAAAACTGTGGACTTCAGAAGGGGAGGTCCTTTGCCAAATACCCTAAATTTGAGAATAAATTGACCCCATCTTCATAAGTCAGGGAAGCAGACCAAAGTAATTTCATTATAATGTGGCCTAAGTCTTACCTGTCCATAACAGGAAACTGAATTAAAGCACATACTAACCAGCAATATAAACAACAGTACAGAAATGTCATCCCTACATGAAAACATAGATAAAATCCCACGCTTTGTGTTCCTTCAGATCACAGAATCTCATTATGAATAAACTGAAATCCAAACAGAATAAATAGGAGGTTATCAATGACCAAATGTTTAGAATAAAGAACAATGCCTTAGTGACAGCGCATAATTTAAAGAACAAAATCCTCTCAATATTAAAATCTTCACGGATCTGCCAGTTTGGTCAGGAAGTGTATGTCTGAGATTAAGGCTCACCTAAAGGACAGCTACACACTTGGCGGGGGAGGAAGGGGGAAAGGGGGCGCGGATATAACCAGACTCTTAAACCCACTCATCTCCAACCAGAGGCAGGTGCAGGCTTCAGTAAGTGCTGCTGGACGAAGGCAGGACGATGCTGGCAGCCAGGTGGCTACCCACCTTCATGCCTACCCTAGTTCATTCTCTGGTCAACCCCACACACTCGGGGCCATCTTTCCTTCCGCCTTCATTTAACATTTTTGTGCCCTTAGGTGCTAAAGCCACCTGCAGAAATCCACAATGAACGCCAAGCTTGAGAAATGTAGCAAGAACCAACTCTTGTAGTAGAAAATAAAGATTTCCAGCCCATCAGATTCAAACAGCAAGCATGGATTAAACAGGGAGATTGAAGCGCTTGAGTACTTTCTCAGTGCATTAAATATCCATTAATTTAAAATTAAGCTCACTGTGCTCACTGGACTTTTAATCAGCTTTCTAGGTCCTGTTCAGACTTGCCTGGAACAAAGGATTCAAAGAACCTATAAATTTATGTACCAATTTGCCTGAACTTAAGTGTTCCTGCTGTCACAAGCAGAAGAAATACCAGTGGAAACTAAAACATGAATTAAAACTTTGGTAATCTGCCCAGGCAGTGTAGCTCAGTGTTTGAGCATCAACCTATGAACCAGGAGGTCACAGTTTGATTCCCGGTCTGGGCACATGCCTGGGTGAAGGCTCGATTTCCAGTGTGGGGCATGCAGGAAGCAGCTAATCAATGATGAGTCTCTCTCATCATTCATGTTTCTATTTCTCTCTCTCTCTCTCTCTGTCTCTCTCTCTCTCTCCCTCCCTCCCTCCCTCTCTCTGCCCCCTCCCTTCCTCTCTGAACTCACTAAAAGTGTGTGTGTGTGTGTGTGTGTGTGTGTGTGTATATATATATATATATAGAGAGAGAGAGAGAGAGAGAGAGAGCGAGAGAGAGAGCACTTAAGGCCTGCAGTATAATTACCTGATAGAGTGTTGGAAACCTATGATTCTGACAAACCTGGAAATTTCATTAATTGTGGAGTTTCTGTTAAAAGCTTCTCTAGCAAAATGTGTCTGAACAAATGAAAGCAAAACCTTAGAAGCCTAAATAAAAATCGGTGTCCACAGCAGCAGTCAGCAAACATTTTCTGCAAAGAGCCAGAAGGCAATTATTTCAGGCTTTGCAGGTCAGATGGTCTGTTGCACTACGTAAATGAATGAGTGTGGCATGTTCCAATAAAACTTTATTTCCAAAAAGGAGCAGCAGGCTAGATTCAGCCACTGGGCCATCGAATGCCAACATCAGGTCAAAAACTCACAAGCTACCCTTTATAATAAAAGGCTAATATGCAAACTGTCCCCTCGGGAGTTTGACCGACCAGGAGTTCGACCACTGACTATGACGGCCGCTGACCACCAGGGGGCGGCACGGAACGAAGGAAGGCCCCGATCAGCCCTGATCGCCAGCCAGGCCTAGGGACCCTACTTGTGCACAAATTTCGTGCACCAGGCCTCTAGTTTCTTCATAAGTGAAAGAAGCAATGTGTCCTCATTTGAAGGCTTTAGACATCTCAATATTATCCACTAAAAAAAACAATTCTCAATACAGGAAAGGCATAATGTGCTACACAGTATTCTCTACACAAGAAATCTAATTAAATGGGTAGGCATCCCAAATTCTTTACTGATTAACTTTGAGCAAGTCACTTAACTTGCCTGACTCTGTCTCCTTAAGTTGTTTCTATACATAAGGCACAGTAGCCCCTGCCTATACTGTAGAGTTGTTGACAAAATTATAAGAGACTAAAGGCCGAATGCGCAAAACTGCGTGAGACTCAGACCCGCGGTGCCGCCACGGGACCCCCAGACCCCAGACCCACCGTGCCGCAAGACACATCAATGCGCCTCCTGGGGACCGGTCATTTGGTCATTACAGCATTACGGCCACTGGCCTTTTATAATATAGATAATCGAAGTGAAATGCTTCATTAAGCACACTGCCAGGCACAGAGGAGAAGCCACAGTTTCTTCTTCCTCACAGAGTTTCTGGGTCTCACAGGAGACTACCAAGTAAAATACACTGGAAACCATAATGGTTAAATGAAAGGCTGCAGGTATATCAGAGAGGTATTTGTGTCTTAAAACATACTGGTGGGTAAATTACAATTCAAACATACAACCAAATAATCATAGGAAAGAATCTGGAGGAACAAATACCGAAATGTTTAGCATGCATATTTCTGGGAATTACAGGGAATTTTCATTCCTAAATTATCGGTTTCTTGATCACAACTATTCAAACAATGAACAGAGACTATTTTTTTGTAATCGGGAAGAAAGCATTACACACAGCACATCTCTTTAAGTCCCCCGTCATTAAATGTATCACAACTGGACTGAAAGTGAGTAAAAAGACATTTTTTCCTACATGTGCAAACTGAAGAAATCTACAATTAACAGTCCCTAAAGCTAATTTAAAAAGGCAATTAGAACAAAAATGCCTGTCCCGTATGTAGTAACATAAACCAAACTCAGTATTGTTTAGCCATGCCCACACGTTGTACTAGAGAAGCCTTTCACAGGAGCTCCACAATTAATGAAATTAATTCAAGTCCGGGTTTGTGGGAATCACGGGCCCCCAACCAACACTGTATCAGGTAATTACACCGCAGACTGTAAACTCTCTGGAACCTGTTAACTTGGTGATCTCGGCTCATTTCCTAGAATCAGCTGCTCCAGGTTTGACAAACCAATCACTTCAGTGGACATGGTTTTTGTCATTCACAACAGAGACGTTTCCAAATGCACCAAAAAAAAAAAAAGTGCAAACCATCCCCCACAACCACCCCCCTCCCCCCCGTCTCTATCTGAGCAGTGCAGCTGTTTGGGATCCAGCCAAGTATAAATAGACATGCTTTACCTACAGGGTACCTGCATAGCAGAATATGCTTCAAACGGATTTCCATGGCCAGGGCTCCTGCAAAGACTGGGCTACAGTAAATCCTTCAAAACCCACAAACATTTGGGATGAGGGTGAACATGAAAATGACAGTGCACACTCTGAAGTTCTGTTTAACAGTCAATGTTTAGCAGTTTCTCAGTCAGAACTCTTCCCATAATTTCTTCAATACTTAAAAAAAAATTACTTCGATTTAAAAATCAACTGACTCTCTTACACTCATCTTAGCGCGTACTTTGAAATGGGAGAGTACACCATAACCTTTTCGGTGCTTAGGGTCTCCTTTTCTTTATAGACGTGCATAATATCTGCCTGGCACACTAGCTACTCTCATATTTCTGAGCCCCAAGAATGTTACATGTATATAGCTAGCTGCTGAGCTTCAGGGATAACTACTACATGGCAACTACCAACTTAATAAGGGACACACATGTAAACAGTAATGATATTATAGTGTGATAAAAGTAAGAATAAAAATTTTACAGGGATCAGGAAGGAGCAATAAACTCTCTAGAAGGTGGAGGCCCAGACAGCTGCCTGGAGAAGGCCAACCCTTGCCAAATTTCACCACGTGGACACAGGAGAAGCCTAGTGACAAAGGCACACAGCACTGTGCGTTCAGACCTACACGAAAGAGTAAGAGTGTAAGCAGGAGGTGATGGGAGAGGAGTCAGGAGAGACAGCCCTGTGAAGCCAATACCTCAAAAGCTGCTTGGCCTTAGAAGCCAAAGAAGGGAGAGAGAAGAAAATACACAAACCTCTGGCCAGATCTACCCTACAGGAATTACAGCCACACCCGGCCAGCTTGGCTCTGTGCTTGAGCATTGAACCAGGAGGTCATGGTTCAATTCCTGTCAGGGCACATGCCCGGGTTGCAGGCTCAATCCCCAGTAGGGGGCGTGCAGGAGGCAGCTGATGGATGATTCTCTCTCATCATTGATGTTTCTGTCTCTCTCTCCCTCTCCCTTCCTCTCTGAATCAATAAAAATATTTTTGAAGAAATTACAGCCACACAACTGCTATGCACCAACAAATCCCTGCTTTGCTTTTTCTTTACATTTTTTTTAAGCCCAGCTCCAGTGTTTGTTCAGTCACAACTGCAGATTCAACACTTCACAAACGGTAGCCCTGGCGGAAGCTGGTAATCATGTAGGTTAAACTCAAACCCAGACACAGCAAGAATCTGTTGTGTGACCACCAGTAAGGCCAGGCCGGACCCCACTGTGACTTCCCTGAGGTACGGCCAGTGGCTCCCAATCAATTCCCCCAGGCCCTGGGGTCCTCATCCTATTCCAGGGGTGGGCAAACTTTTTGACTCGAGGGCCACAATGGGTTCTTAAACTGGACCGGAGGGCCGGAACAAAAGCATGGATGGAGTGTTTGTGTGAACTGATATAAATTCAAAGTAAACATCATTACATAAAAGGGTACGGTCTTTTTTTTCAATAGTTTTATTCATTTCAAACAGGCCGGATCCGGCCCGCAGGCCATAATT